CAGGAAAAAGATTAATAAATATCCATAAAATCCCACAAAGTTGCACCCACATAGCTCTGGGATTTATTAAATGTAATCTCCTGTAAGAGAAATCATCCCAGCTCAAAACAAGAGTGACTGGGAATGAGTCACTGGACGAGCTAAAACTTGGTTTCAAACACAGAAGCAAGAATTTGTCAGCTTTAAGATAAATTTCAAGGCAGGACAATCAGGTTCATTTCATGCTCGAGGTGGAAGAAAGCTCTTTACACCCACGTGTCTTATCCCATTATTTCCTAGGAAATTGGATGTGATCAGTGTTACATGGAGAGGCATCCCTTCTTCTCCTCTGCTGATAACTCTGGGGTTAAAGGAAAAAAAAAGAAATGTGCTTGAAATTTTGTTGGAATCATTTGTTAGGTGTTTCATTTGAGGGGAAAAAAAGCAGGAAACAGGGAAGGAAATAGGTTTTTGTCAGATGAAACCTGTACATTGCCATTGGAGTTGGAGGGATTTGAATGGATTTGTTGCTTTTTCTTGCTTCTAACACTTTTTCTCTCCTCATTGGAGATGAGGAACAATAGGAAAGGTTTGCTTCCAGAGCCAAATCCAGTGCAGATCATGAAAAGTTTTAATAATCCAGCCATGCTGCAGATGCTGCTGCAGCCCCAGCTGCGTGGCCACGCTGTTAAACCTGGTAAGCTGCTCTGAAATAATGCAAAACCAAACCCTGCTCTCAGTGCTGCAAGGCTCTTGCAGGGTGATTAAGTAGAAATAATATTTAATTTAATTACTGTTTCAGTGTGATTGTGCAGATAATTTCACCTTTTATGAAAGCAAAAGCAAGAGTTGCTTTGCTACACTCCTGTGTGTGGGGAAAATTCAGTGTTCCTACAAATACTGAACAAAGTATGAACTCTGTGGGCTCTGAATATTCACATTAGAAATGGGGTTAGAAAGAAATGTCTTTTACAAGGCTTGGTTAAACTTCAATCTGATTTTAGATCTGAATTTTGCAGCCTGAGTCTTTCTCCTGTTGCCAATGTAAATCTTGATTCTTTTGGCTGCTGCCACAGCTGTGCAGAGTATTTATTACAGCATCAGCCAGAATCATTTCTGTGTTCTAATTAGGATGGGAATAAACATAAACCCTAATTAATCACATTTGAAATGGTGAAAGTGCTCAGATGGGGAGGGCTGAGTGTGGCTACAAAGAAACCCAGAAATGGGGTGAAGTGACCACTTCAGGGCAGAAACACTCCAGCTAAATCTGAATTTAAAGCACTTCAGATAAAGCTGAGCCTGCAATCAGCTCAGCAGTGAAACTCTCAGGTGTGGAGGAGCTCTCACATTCTGAAATTTTACATCAAAAGCTTTCATAACCTTTCCCAACCTAAACCAGTCCCTCGTTCCCTTGTGGTGATTTTGTACACTTGAAAATTTTCTGGAAAGCAAATTAAAAACTGCAGGATAATTCTAAAGACTTTTACTTGGCTAATTGGTAAAATTCACTGATTTCTTGTGTGTTTCTTAAACAGTTCTTGGAGCATCTGCAGGCTTACCTCACCTCATAAATTCAGCAGTTGGGCCACCTTTTTTGCAGTTGAATAAAGTTCATCAGGTATGTGACAAAAAGCCTGTCATCGAAAGAGTTATCTGGGGAGAGATTCTAAAATTTTAAGGAATTTAAAGCCAAAATGAAGGGTTCTTGTTGGAGCTCTAAGGAAGGTTATGAGATGGGGAAGCAGGCAGTGCTAACTGTCCAAAATGCAGTTATTTTATCTAAATTTTGCACTTAAAACCTGCCAATGTAGGCAAAACTTGTTATTTTCTGGCAGAAAATCCTTCTTTAAACAGCTCTCAAGGGGCCTGGCACATCCCTTTCCCTTGGAGCAGCCCATCCACACTCCTGGAGGGATTTTATGGTTTATCTGCTTCAAACCAACGAGTTCAGCAGCCTTGGCTTCATTTCCAAGCTCCAGGGACCCAAATGTGCTGCATGTGCCATAAAAACAGAGATTTGCTGATGTTATTTCTTACTGATAAATCCCCCAAATCCTCCTGTAATTCCAGATGGGCACCAGAATTCCCAGAGAGAAAATGGGAAGGATCTTTGGGATGGGTTTGTGCTAGAAACTGAGAGAGGGAAAATGCACCCACAGCCAGAATTTCTGCCTTGAGCTCAGCTGCTCTCAGGGTCAAAAATTGAATTTATTATTCATGGTAGGGATTTACACAAATACCTACAAGGGACTGGAGTCCATCACTTGCCCTTATTATTTGTGATATTTCAGAAATTTCCATTTTAAAAATAAAATCCTTTCAGCATCAATTATTTCTGCAGTTCTTTTGGCAAACACAGGCTTAGAGATCTTTGAAAAGACCCAACTAAAATGCAGGAATATTCCCTATGTTAAACATATTGAGCTCTTCTATTTTTTCTCTAAAAACTGCTAGGTTAATCTATTAAATTTAATAAATTCTGCTTCATTTTGCCCTATATAAAATAGACATAATGCAGGAATATTCCCTATGTTAAGTATAAAATGCAGGAATATTNACTGTTGGGTCTCTGCCCATGGTAAAGGGCTTTAACCAACCCAAACCATTCTGAAATTCTGTGATTCTGTAAAGTCAGCACTTCCTGCCCATAGTAAAGGGCTTTTACCAACCCAAACCATTCTGGAATTCTGGGATTCTGTGGGTTAGTGCTGTTGGATCCCTGCTCATGGTAAAGGGCTGTAACCAACCCAAACCAAACCAGTCTGGAATTTTGTAATTCTGTGGGTCAGCACTGTTGGAGCCCTGCCCATGGTAAAGGGCTGTAACCAACCCAAACCAGCCTAGAATTCTGTGATTCCATGGGATAAGCACTGTTGGGTCTCTGCCCATGGTAAAGGGCTTTAACCAAGGAATTCTGTAATTCTGTGAAGTCAGCACTGTTGGGTCTCTGCCCATGGTAAAGGGCTTTAACCAACCCAAACCATTCTGGAATTCTGTGATTCTGTGGGGTCAGTGCTTCCTGCCCATGGTAGAGGACTTTTACCAACCCAAAGCATTCTGGAATTCTGTGAAGTCAGTGCTGTTGGGTCCCTGCCCATGGTAAATGACTTTAACCAACCCAAACCAAACCAGTCTGGAAATCTGTGATTCCATGGGTCAGTGCTGTTGGAGCCCTGCTCATGGTAAAGGGCTTTTACCAACCCAAACCAGTCTGGAATTCTGGGATTCTGTAAAGTCAGCACTTCCTGCCCATGGTAAAGAGCTGTACCCAAACCAAACCAGTCTGGAATTCTGTGATTCTGTGGGTCAGCACTGTTGGGTCTCTGCTCATGGTAAAGGGCTTTAAGCAACCCAAACCATTCTGGAATTTTGTAATT